TTGATGCATTTTTCAAATTTCGCCTTGGGGCGGAGTTATCTTTTCACAGGGGCGTAAGATACACTTTAAAGCAAAAATGCTGGGTTTGATTAAGATTACAGTTCTCTGCAAAAAAAAGGCTCTAAAAATTGCATTATCTTTACTTTTTATGATAGCTTTCTACCGTGATATATACTGTTACCGTAAAGGGGTTCAGTTTATACATGATATGAATTTGAGGTCATACCGCCCAGCCCTAGCGTTTGCAAATCTGGGTGCACCTAAGGAAAAATGTTAGGCGCACCAGTGCAACCAGTGCAAAAAGTTAGTCTAGAGCCCTGAACTAATATATTTGCTCAAGAAAAAATGTAATCTTTGCTGCATGAAGCTATTTTTTAGTTCTGGGAGGGGGAGGGCACCCAGATGGCTAGCACCAGGCCTGCAAACCGATCAAATTCTGGTGGATCGCTTGCTAATCTGAGTTTAGAGAAAAATCATCAGATTTACAGCATCACAATCTCATCTTGTCTCATTAGATGAGTGTCTCATCGTCCTCCAATCACTGACACTTACCACTTTTACACCATCACTTCTTTAAACTCTGGTGCTCATCAGAGACAGCTGAGCCGGTTCACAGCATGCTGTATGACCCTGTTCCCTCAGAGTCAGCTGTTCGAGAGCATCCAGGAGGGCAAGTACGAGTTTCCAGACAAAGACTGGGCGCACATCACTAAAGAAGCCAAGGACCTCATATCCAAGCTGTTGGTTCGGGACTCCACCRTGCGGCTCAGCGCTGCTCAGGTCCTCCAGCATCCTTGGGTTCAGGGGGTGGGTATTATTTACATCTGTGCACCCAGGACAATTTATTGATCTGTCTAGTTGTGACATAAYTGGATGATTTGGTTTCTTTTCTTTCTGCAGAATGCTCCAGAGAGAGGTCTTCCAACTCCTCGTGTCCTACAGAGGTTTGTGTTGCAAGTTTGTAACTTGAGATGTTTTCAAAACAAAATTGAAGTTTTAATGGATGATGAAAACCACTTAGTTTTTTTTTTTTTCATTTTATCTGCTTTGATAGCTTTAAACTGCCTGTGACATGCATAGTCTTCAAATCCAAAAAGTCAAAGAAAACATCTTCATGTTTAGGAAGCTTAGTACAATGCTCATGCTTTCACAATGTCAGTCAGATTTTCCTGTGAGTTTGGTTCAGCCAAAGGGAAACAGGAAGTGACATCAAAGGGGAACTCTCTGGTATTTGTTATTTGAATTAACTCTTCATCTCTCTGATAGTGACTCAAAAGAATCTAAACATACATCAGATTCTTCTCAACAGTCTGTGTCATCTGTTGTAGCAATGCTCTGTTTACATGCAGACATTCCCCTTTGACATCACTTCCTGTTACTTCATATGCACATACAGCGGGTAAAATAAGTATTAAACACGTCACCATTTTTC